AATAATTACACTTCCTGTTTATTATAAAAACTTTTAAAATTTTATATAATTTTTTTTTTCTATGTATTATTTTACATTTTTAACTTTTATAATAGAACAACAGAAATTTTTAGAGAACAATTAAAACTAATTAAATAATAGCTACTACATTAATAATAATTTGAATTTTTTTTTTATCTTAAGAAATTAGTATTATAGATGGCAAATAACATTTCAATGATAATTATTATTAACCTAACTTTTGTAATAACGATTGTCAGATAAATAATTTTTTTTTTTTTTGATAACAAAATTATCATGGCGGCATTATTATTATATTTTTCTTCGCTAATTAATAATTATCTAAATTTTAAATTCGTATTAGATGTAGTATTTTTATTCCGATTAGTTATTAGATAGAATATTGAAATAATTACACGGGTTTATTTTTGTAATTGGATTAATACGTAAATTCGGATGTAATGGCGCCGAATCCTGTGGAAGGAATAAATTAAAATGTACTCATCGGGGAATAAACAGTTTTTAACGAAAATTCAGTCTAGTCTATGGTAGCAAAATGTTAAATCCATTATTTATTGTCTTCAATTAATTAATTCAATATTTCAAGTATTAAAACGAATAAAAATATTTATTTAACATGAAAATATGAGTGGTAAGGTTTTGATATTTTATAATATATAAAAAAATTAATATTATTAATAATCAAGTAAATTTATTTATTTAATATTATTTATTAATGTTATTATGTAAAGTTATTTTGTAGAAATATTTTTTTGTTGTGTGCATAAAAATTAAATCATAAAAGACTTTGAATCATTGGTAATATATTTTAAAGTATTACAAAAGAAACTAAAGTTAAAAAATACTACTACTAAAGCAATTGTGGGGTTTTAAAAAATTTATTTATTTTATAAAAAAAAATCAAAAGTAATAAAAAAGTAAAATTGTCAGTGTTACATTTTAAAAATATTTCATAAAATTTATTAATCACTCATTGGGGAGTTTTACATAAAGTTTTCATATACCATGGTTATTGTAATTTTGTAAACTAAGTTTTTTTTTGTTTTTAAATTTGTGTAAAATTAAAGTTTTAAAAACATTAATTTAAAAATTATCCTGTGACAATATGAATTTGTGACCATTTTATGTTAGTCACTAATAGAATGCAGTATTAAATGAATGAAACTGTAAAAATGTTTTTTTTTTTGCATTCATTTTATGTGAATGTAATCTGAAGTGTATGTGAAAACTTTCAATAAGGTCGACTTGACTTAATTATGATTGGCCCCATTCAATATTAGTATGTAAAATTCCATTGTCTATCTTATGTTTTACAAAGTTTTCAATTACAAATAAATAAATAACTTTCAGTCCCACTGTATTATTTATTAGTTATATATATATATTTTTTTAATTAAATGATTAGTTTTTGAAATATTTATTATTACTATATATTCAAAAAAACTTTAAAATTTGTTAATATATTTATAAATAACTCACTTAATTACAATCTTAGAAGATAAAAATTAAGGTATTTGTGTAGGTGTAGCTAAATTTTAAATTAATTTTGCTTACTTTGAGTTCCTGAGGCACATAATAATAGAGTTTTAAATTAAAAATAAAGAGTTTGATTTCCAATATTAAATTATAAAACTATTGATTAATTAAAATAAATATATATATTTATTGAGTAAATACATTTAATACATATAAAAAAATAAAATACACTTTGTTAAAAAATTATGTGTTTGAGGCATAATAAAAAAAATTATAAAAAAATTACTAGAACAATTCTAAGAAAAAGTATATATATATAAATTAAATTAAAAATATTTACTGCAAAACTTAAATTATTTTTATTAAAGCCATTAATAATTCAAAGCTCTAATTTATAAATCCACTAACTTGGCACACTTTACTTCAGTCTTTAATTTTACTCCTCTTGCTGGCCTTACTGGAGACATTTCACATAACTTACTGCTATCAAAGGTTTCTGCATCATTAACTTTACATTTGTTATCACTTATTGTGTAAAATTGAGACTTTGAATTTTCTATTATCGATTTTTGATCAGGGTCACATTTTTTTGAAGAAGAGGATTTAAATACATTTTCACACCCTTTATTTCTCGGGTACATTAATAGAGGATCCTGCAAATATACATTATTTTTAACATTTACATTTTTAATTACATTTAAAAATAATTATTACACAAAATTTAAAAAATTGTAAAATGTTTTAAAAGATATTTACTTGTAAATTTTCAAAATAATAATAATTGTTCAATTGATTTGCATTATATATTACTTAAAATTGATGTATTTATATGAACAAAATGTAAATCATTCATACTAAATAATAGGTGATTGGTAATTATATGTACTACAGTATTTTAAACACAAAGAGTATACATAATCTATCTTTAATAATATTTAAATTTTGCATAAAAATACTAATACATATTCAAAAATTATTTCTTCAGTAAATAAAAAAAAAAAGGAAGAAATAACGAAGTAAAAATTTTTTTTTAAATCAGCATTTCAGTTAGTTTTTTCTTTAACTTTTTAAAATAAAACATAAATAAAAAAATTAAACAATACCTGTCCAGTTATAAGACTAAGCTTTTTTTGAAGTAAAAGTAATTGAGACCTCCAATATTCATAACTAGCCTCTTTTAAAGCTTCAATCCATTTATCAATATTATCTTGAGACCTTCCCGAAAATAAATGCTTTTTCTCAACCTCATCATTAAAATACAATGAAAATGAAAAAGGAGCTTCTGAATTCATTTCAAATTGCACTATTGTATTTTCCAAAATATAGGCACCAACAGGCTAAAAATTATTGTGCTTACTTTAATATTTAAAAACAACAAAAGCTTAATTCATTTATAAGTTATTTATCAATTCTCTCTAATATTATAATAATTTTTATGACTATGTACCTTGTTATTATTTATTTGTCCTGTTTCACTTAAATTAAAATAAAACAAGATATTTGCTCTTAATTTAAACCATTTTTCTTTAAACACTACAATAAAATACAAAACAAATATATAATGACAGTAAATTATTATGTATTACTCTAACAGATTTATCATAAAAAAAAAAAGTTGTCACTAAGGTAACGAAAATTATTTATGATTTTAATACCTAACATAACAGTTAGATTCTCACCAGAATTTGAATGTGAACTATTTATTTTTTTATGATGTAAGCGCCCTTCGATAGTTGCTTTGCCAAAACTCAAATCTGCCAATTCTTTTATGTTGAACTTCATTTTATTTCTAACCACACTTGGTTTTAATTTTTAAAAAACCTTATTCGTTCGTATAAACACTGTAGTTGCATCTTCCATATTCCAACGTACTGTTTACTCTGTAAAAAGCCTTTAAAAAATTTAAACAAATTTTTAAAAAACTAAATAATACAAATACAAAATATTTAATTTTTATAATCTCTGTTTTAAGTAATTCCACCTAGAATTTGAAAAGTGAAATTTTGAAAAGGAAATGCAATATTCCTTTGACAGATCACTACGAAATCGACTTAGTTTATTTATTTATTTATTTTTGGATCCAAAGTAAAATTACGTTAACGGGAAATAAATTGCTTGTTTGTCACTAAATTATTTGTATTAATTTACTATAAAAAGATTTTTATAACGAAAAAGAATGCTATAATTCTGTTGGTTATCATTTAATTTTCAAGTTGTGCAGTTCGTTTGCGTAGTAGATTTCAATTGCCTGCTTGCTTGAAAAATTCGCTTGAAACTAACCGTCAAAGCGTCAGAGTTTATTGTGTTTGATTTGTACTAAGTGAAAAATTTTTTTTGAATTAATGTTTAATATTTATAATTTATTGTTGCATTAAAATTATCAACTACTAAAATAATGAAAGTAATAGAAGCTGGAACAAACGTCGACATAAAACGGACAGACGGTGAGTAGGTTTCCAACTGCCATTTTGACCTGCTCCTCGAACCGACCCACACAGCCTTGTGTGGGTATACTTCATTTTATTTTTTTCTCTTTCATCCCCCTTTTTTTTATTAATACTTATTAATTGAAGTAATTCTTACATAAATAACGTTCACTAATATTTACAAAATATTTGTGTTCAAGGTGTACTAAAATCATTATTATTTTTTCTATTTTATTTTATATACCAAGTACCTATATTCAAGTTGTTCAAGTTTTCACATGTTATTATACATTTTTGGCTGTTGTTGGTTGTTCCATTCGTTATTTTTTATAAAAAATCATTTATCAGATAGTAAAAATATTAGATACGCAATTAAATATAAAATTGTGTATTAATAGATAGATCTTTTATTAAAATCTTTGAAGCATTACTAAATTGTAGGTGTGTTTTTCTTATTTGTTTGTGAATCCTGTTTTTAAATTTGTATACATCTGTCATTATTTATTTTTCTTTAGCTTTTATTATTCAGTTTTTTTCTTTTTTTTGTTTCAAATTGAGATATTATAATACTTAAAATTACTTAAAAACTTGCAGAAGGATAATTTATTTCCTGTAGATATTAAATATATTGTCCGTTTAAATGTTTCTTTGAAAATATTATTAACCTAATAATAGTTTTATTGGTTTTCAGGGATATATACTAATGTATTGTTTAAAAGTATGATTTTTTTTTAATTATCTCTTGAAAGTATAGGTAATAATTTCTTTGACAATTAAAAATTAAAATTATGACATTGCACATTATATTTATATAAATTTTCAGCTTACATGTATTATGTTACTTTTTGTACGAAAAATATTTTTGTGTATGTTTTGATAAAAACCTATTTATATTAATAATTTTTCTTTTAATATAAATTGTAATGTCTCATTTTTATTTTATAAAAAATGTTAGTTAGTTTACATATAAATTACTTAAATTTAAAAAAAAAAAAAAAAAATGAGCATAAATTAATTTTAATTTACTTAAAGGGACAGAGGAAATTTTTAAGCTAATTACATTTTCAAAAAATCATATTAAAAATTTTTATTTACTTTAATTTTTGAAATACAATTTTTATTATCTAGTACAAATTCTATATGATGATTATTTTAATAATAATAATAATAATTTTTTAAATTTATTTCTTTTATTCATTGTTAAAAAAAGGGTTTTTTCAATGTGACAAATAAAAATCATTGAAATTTTCTTTATTTGGAAAAGTTGAAACTTTAGTTATTCAGTTGGAAACTTTGTTACCTCATTAAAATAATTCACTGGTTTTTTAAAAAAAAATTAATAGCATTTTTAAAAATAAAATACTTAAAAGTAGCTTTTTTAAATTTATCACACATTTAAATTTCATACCTGTGCTTTTAACAATTTTTTCTGATTTTGCAAACATATGATATATATGTATATATTTATATGTATTATATTTTCAATATTTGCTAATTATTAATTATTCATTACTGTTCTCAATAAATAATAAAGAAAAAATTTTGAACTGACTGACGACAGTTTAATGCCTTTTTTAAAACGTAAAAATTATTTTTTTTTTTTAATTATAGAATCGTTTAAAATAATAATTTAAAAATGAAAAAATTACAAATACAGATTTTCAAAGTTTTTTTTTTTTTTTGTTTATCTAGGAAATATATTGCTATTATTTGTCATATAATTTCCTATTGTGTAGGTTGTAATTTTACCAAAAATGCAAGTTTATACGTAACAATTTTATTTAAATGTAATTTTAGTTTAGCTTAATCATTATGCTGAAAGACCTTTAGAAATAGAAATAAATACGTAGGCAGTACAGCTTTATAATAAAAGCTCAATGGTCAATTTACAATAATATACACAATTTAATAATAACATTGATTTTAAAAAAAAATTTTTTTAAAACTTATATTACCTTTTATGAATTAATTACAAATAAAATAAATTTCTGTTTATGTAGGGCTGAAAAAGAAAAATATTTAAAAAATGTACAATTATAAAAAGTAGTAAATAATTTTAAAATTTGAAAAATATATTATGCAATTATTTTAAAAACGTATTAAGCATTATTTAAGGATCAAATGAAAAAATTTACAATATAATTGTATTTTTTTTTTTTTTTGTGAAAAATGAGAATTTGCAATAATATACATATATTATCTCCAGATTATTTTTGACTACTCTCTTTAAAATTTTAGAAATGAGAAAAAAAATTTAATTTTAAAATTATAAATAATTGGGATTTACAGAAATTAAGCTAAAAATAAAAATAAATAAATTTTTAATGTGCTTACAGATCAAGAATATTAAAACATTGAAACTAAATAAGTATTTATATATGTGTAATTATCACACATTACAATTTTTTTGTATCATAATAATTTTTATTGTTATTAATTATATAATGTATTGGTAGTTTCATCTATGTATTCCATGATCCTTTTAAGTTCTTAGTGTCTACTGCAAATGTCTAATATGTCACAATACTTTGTGTATTATTATAATTTTTTTTTTTTTTTGGGGGGGGTGGAAATTTCTTACTTTAGTAATTGCTTTTATATTTTTCTTCGCATGTTACATTTATACTTTTAAAAAAATTATATAAAACAACAAGTTAAAATAAAATTATTTGTACTCTGAAATGAGGCACCTTTTATTACATTTACTTATAAACACTATAATGTTTATTTGAGTAATAATTAATACGAGTGTAAATTAAATATCATGTATTGCCATTAGTATAAGTTTTTTAAAAATTTTTTCTATGACCTTAGAGCCATCAACATCTTTCATACTTTTATAATTATGGAGTGAAACACCATTGACTCAGAAACCAAATATAAACAAAAACTACTTTTTCACGTCTTAGTTAAAACTTTATTAATGCCTTAAATTTTTAATGAAAAATTTACTTGACGCTCTTTTAGAAAACTAATTTAAAAACTCTTAAAATTTTTAAGTATTTTATATTAATATATAATTTATTCACATACTGAAGGCAAACATTATTTATAAATATATCAGCAAATAGTTTATAATACTTTTCAAAACGGATGTTTTTAAAAAAAAAAAATGGATAAATTATTGTACGTTTATTTTGGTTTCAATTTATTCTGCAATATTGTTCACTTTTCTTTCTTTTTGTTTTTATGTTACATTTGTATGATACACTCAAATATGTATATATATATATATATATTACTAGGTGTATATAAAGTTTTCAGCTTTTAAATTTTCCACCATTATTTACATTACTATAAAAACATTTCCACATTTCCACATTACTATAAAAACTTGCAGTATTAATAAAAATGATTATTATTATATTAATGATTATGAAATCTAATAATAATAAGCAATAATTTTAGACATTAAAAAAACTTAAAAAGTATTGTAAATTTTTTAAATTTTTTTATAAAATAACATATTGTTTAATTTTGCAAATATTTAAAAAAGTGCAATATTTTTCAATTAAAGAGAAACATGTTTTTTTTTTTGTTTTTTAGAAATTGAAAATTTGATTTAAAAAAAAAAAAAAACACTCAATGATCAATAATAATTATTATTATTATTTTTTTTTTTTTTTTGAATTTATAATAATAAGTTTTTAATGAACTGGAATTATCACAGGTCGTGTTCATTCAGCAGTTGTATCTGGCGTTAATTGGAACAATAGAAGTGTAACTGTAGAATGGTTTGAGCATGGAGAAACTAAAGGAAAAGAACTTCCCGTAGATCAAATTTTAAGTTTAAACCCAGATTTATGTCCCGAACCTTATTATCCTCACAATACAGCACCTGCCAGTAATTCCAATTCTACTGGAGGTATTAATCGAATGAGACTGGTAAGTAAAAAAAAAAAATTATAATTTTTGATCAATTAAAAATATCTTTTATTAGTTTCACAGAAACTTGTTTAAAATAAAAATAAATATAAAGTATTAAAATATGATAAATAAATTTCAAAAAGTGAATATTTGCAATTTTTATTTTATGTAATAAAATAAATGTTCTTTTTTTTTTTTCTTTTTCCAGAATTTTGCTAAACTTGGCGTTCCACAAAATTTGAGTAAGTATTTTTTGATGGTTACTTATTTTTGTGATTGTTACATATAAAGTTATTAATTATATTTTTAATTTTAGATAGCGGAGTACCGTCCGGTGGTGGAGTTCCACCTCGACAAGTTAGAAATAGGCCTAACTCAAACATCACAAATGGTCATGGAGTTCCCAGTGATTACACAAGTAAAGAAACTGAAATTTTGCAAATTTCTCAACATCAACAACCTTCTACTCCGAATGCAGTGCATCGGATCACTCCTACTTTTGCTGTACCTCAAGGTAATTGATTTTATATATATATATATATTTTTTTTTACTTAAATATTTTAAAATTGTTCCTCTTTGAATTGATGTTTTTTTTGTTTTAAATGAAAATTTGTAGCTCGAACTAATACAACGCAAGCCCTAATTACTGCTCAACAAACTAGATCGATGGGTAACACTGGCCATCAAATTGATCAAGCATCAACTTTGCCAGTAGCAAATCCGGCAGTTACAAGAAGAAGCAATGTTGTTAAGGAGGTAGAAAAATTAAAAAAGAATCGTGAGGAAAGGAGACTTCGGCAGGCCGAATTAAAAGAAGAAAAAGAAGCCCTTATGAACTCGGATCCCGGGTAATCCAAACTGGGAATTTTTGGCTATGATTAGGGAATATCGATCTAATTTAGAGTTTCGTCCTCTAAAAGAAAACGATACAATTGAGGATCATCAAATAACTGTTTGTGTGAGAAAACGACCATTAAATAAAAAAGGTTTGTCAAGTTTTTTTTAAGTTTCTTGTTTTTTATATTTTTAAAAGTATAGATTATTATGAAGTTTTAGGGTAATAAAATAACATTAGGCTTATAATGGATACTTTCTCAAAGCAAAATAACTATAAATATATATTGTAATTTTTATTATTTCAGAAATAAACAGAAAAGAAATAGATGTGGTGACGGTTCCTACTAAAGATCAAATAGTCGTTCATGAACCAAAAAATAAATTTGATTTAACGAAGTATTTGGAAAATCAAAATTTTAGGTTTGATTATGCTTTTGATGATTCTTGCAATAATGAAACTGTGTATAAGTAAGTGTAATTCAATTTTTTATTTTTTATTAAGAATTTTGCAAAGCAAGCGGTTTAAAAATTTGTGAAAAAATTTTTAAATCGCTTAATAAATTTTATTTTAATACATAGTAATAACGGTCTAGTACGAAAATTTCTAGAATAACTTCTTAAGTATAAAAAAATTTTTTTTGTTTTCTCTTATCAAAGGATTCAGTTGAATTATTTAAAAACCTTCTGCGTTTTATCTGAAACAATAACTACCTTTGAGGGAGTTTATATAGCCAAGTCAATCATTAGTTATATGAAATGTTTTATGCTAAACCAAAAAGATAAAAAAAAATTGGGCAAAAACTAAAAATTTTAAAATTATAATATTAATAAAAAAATGGGGTTATAATACTTTGTATTTTAACCAGCTATTGATCATTGTTTCCGTTGCTATAACATTTTACTGCCCGAAAACTTTTATAATAATAATGTTAGTAAAAAAAAAAATGAATGCACTCAATTTAAATTTTAAAAATTAAGAATTAATTAATCTTCCCTAAACTTATTTATTTTTATTTTTTTAAAACACTTATTAATGATTTTTGGCAGGCATAAATATAAAATAAGATTTCAAAAAAATTAGACAAAAATTTATACAAATTTTTTAAATAAGGAAAAGAAGTAAAATAAATCATTAGTATCATTTTACACCTTTTATGTATTTAACCAAAACTTATTTTATAATTTAAATTACCGGAAATTGTTTTATTTTTAGATTTACTGCTAAGCCTCTCGTTCAAACAGTTTTTGAAGGTGGAATGGCCACTTGTTTTGCTTACGGGCAAACCGGAAGTGGAAAAACTCACACAATGGGTGGTGATTTTAATGGTAAAACTCAGGATTGCAAAAAGGGTATTTACGCAATGGTGGCTAAAGATTTTTTCAAGTTTCTTAATTCGCCTAAATACCGTTCTTTGAAATTAATTGTTTCTGCAAGCTTTTTTGAAATATATAGCGGGAAGGTGAGAAATACTAAAATAAAGTTTTCTTTAAAATTAAGTTCAAATTAATTTTATATATAAAACAGTAAACCTAAACCTGGGATAAATAAATACATTTGGTTTAAATGTTAAAATCTTGCGGTATTTGAATTGTAGATTTGGAATTCAAATTGTAATTGTAATTAACAGAATTTTTTTTTTCATTTTCTTTCAGGTATTCGATCTGCTAGCGGATAAAGCTAAACTAAGAGTATTAGAAGATGGAAAAAATTGCGTTCAGATCGTAGGTTTAACAGAAAAAGTAGTGGAAAACGTGGATGAAGTATTAAAATTAATTCAACATGGTAACTCTGTTCGTACATCGGGACAAACATCCGCAAATTCAAATTCATCGAGATCGCATGCTGTTTTTCAAATTATTGTCAGAACACCAGGAGTAAATAAAATTTATGGAAAATTTTCTTTAATTGATTTAGCTGGAAACGAACGCGGAGCAGATACGTCGTCATCAAATCGACAAACCAGTAAGAAAATTTTTTTTTTTTTATTGTTTAATAACTAACAGTTTTTAAATTAATTTTTTTTTTATTTACAACAGGAATGGAGGGTGCTGAAATAAATAAATCACTTTTGGCTTTAAAAGAATGTATTCGAGCTCTTGGAAGAAAGGGAGCTCATTTGCCTTTTAGAGCAAGTAAATTGACACAAGTACTAAGAGATTCTTTTATTGGAGAAAAATCAAAAACTTGCATGGTATGATATTTCCACATATTATTTTTTTATTAATATTTTAATTGAATTTTTTTTTTTTTTAATGTTAAAAATTTTTAATCGATTTTTTGAATGCTTGATTTTAATTTTTAAAATAGAGTTATTATAGGAAAAAGGTATGGAACAACAATTGTAAGAAAAATTTTGAAATCATCATTAAATAATCAAAATCAAATCAATTTATATCCCTTAATGTATATAAAATATTTATATGTAAAATTTTAGGGTTATTTATTAAATAAATTTAATGAGGGTGTCAGACTATTTTTGCCGGTAAATAAATTTTGTTCTTAGTGTAAGTAAAAATAAGGTGCATATAGAAAAATTATGATGATCGAGTTTTCATCTTAATGAAATTTAAAATTTCGTTTAACATAATGATTGTGACGTACATCTTTATAAATTTAAAATAAGAAAACTAATTTTTCACGTAAACTGTGTTACACATTATCATGTTTAATTTAACTATTAATTAGTATAATATTAATTTTTTTTATAGATTGCCATGATAAGTCCAGGAATGAGCTCATGTGAGCATTCATTAAATACTCTAAGGTATGCTGATCGAGTTAAAGAATTAGCCGTGACGGAGCCACCTGAAAAAATTTCTCCAACAGACGGAGGATCACCTGAAGTTGTAGAACGTGCAATGTTAAATGACAGTGATTTAGCCCAGCTTCGGTCTTTAAATGTAAGTTAATATTATAATGTGTGTGTGTGTTTTTTTTTTTTTTTGTAAATAATGCATTTAATATAAAAAAAAATATTTTTTTTTTTTGTTAATTATTTAATTAGGAAGGAGAATTGTCTGCCGATTTGTATAATTTTCATGAAGTAGTTTCCCAATTGCAACAACAAGAAGACGAAGTATTAGATTTACACAAAGAAGTTATTGATTTCCAAAGTAAATGGTTTAAGGAAGATATTGAATTACTCAACAGTACTAGGGAAGTCGATTACGACCAGGAAGGTATAATTATTGCTATTAAAAATTAAATCAATTTTAATTTTAATTATCATTACTATTATTAATAATATTATTATTATTATTTTTGTTTCAGTTTATTCTACCCGATTACAAAATTTAATTAAAGAAAAAATGAATATATTTAGGGCCTTTGATGAAAAAGTAGCGTCTTTCAGAGACCAATTAGTAGCCGAAGAACAATTTAGCCAAAAAGTGAAACCCAGGCCCGGGAGATTTAACTAAATTA